AACTGCTTAAGTATACCGTTAGGAGGACAATCGGACCCGGAGCGGTAGACTAGCTTATCGTGCATGCAGGTGCCAACAGGGGCTCAGATAGTACAGCAGCGCGATGCCTGCCGACATGTATGCAGATAAGGAACGACTCGGAACCGTACCGGTGGTCATTCGGTTGCGGTCGTTACAGCTTACGCCACATCTCAAATTGAGCCTGAGGAGCAGCCTCAGCAAGTTCACGTTCGAATGTGGAGACTTTGCCATATAGTGTAGCCTTAACAACAAGGTTGATAATGTGGCCTGTACAGCGTATGCGGTGACCTGAGTTGAGGGTGATAAAATCAGATGCTTTGTTGATATAATCAATAAACTCCTGGTCGTTGTTTTTGGCATTGTCGCTCACAAAACAGTTGAACTCTTGCTCAAAGTTGTACTCCTGTATTACTTTGAGAACAACTGAGGCTTGTGCCTGACCAGTGTGGTCACCAAAGAGGTTGCGGAAGGCAATAAGTACATCTCATTGGTGGTACGTAGCATCAACAAAATGAGCAACTATAGCTAAGAAGCTATAGTGGTTGGTGGATGTCCATATGTCGAAACTGATTGATATCTTGCTTTGAGCCAAGTTTATCAGTGATATAACCTCGCTCTTGCGCTGCTCCAACTGTTTCTTAGCATACTCTGAAAGCGTAGTTGCTGAATTGGGCAAGGCCTTGAGAAGGGCCATCTTGTTCCAAGTAATGATGCCTCTTGTAGCTGGTGAAATGGCATCAGAGAAGCTAAGATCACGGGTGATTACCCAGTCAACTAGAGCGTTTTGCAGCTGCTGTTCCTCCCAAGGTGTGTGTGATGGATCTGCTGATGTGCCAGCAACGCGTTGGACTGATCGGGCTTGTGTAAAGGGGTCTGATGAGTAATCCCCTGAGTTAACTGGGGTCATTTCACCTGTCTTAACGTTGATGCCATGTTGACGTTCAAGGTGCTTTCTGATGTGTGCATAGCTGTCAAGTATGTGGATGGCGCTGCAATTGTTGCGGTCTTCATGGCAAGCCTTACACAAGTAGAGTTGTTTAAGCTTGCCATCTTCAAACCTGTACTCCAACTCAAGACCATAGGCCCATATTGATGACCCTTGACGACCTCCATTGAACAAGCTCTTGTGTTTAACCCGGTAACCAAGCCTTGATGCCACTAAGCGCCTACTGTTGTGCCAAACATTGTGAAAATCAACATCAAATTTGATGCCAAACACTTTGTTGTGATTATCAGGTAATACATGTGGCTCAACAGCATCCTCGTCATCTGACACCTCTACTGGCTGACTCTTTGATAATGGTGACAATGGCAGCTGTAATGGCTGGGGTAACTGCCATGCCAATAGGCTTGATTGGGATGATGATGCTTGGGACAATGATGAAGGAGTCTTGGTAGGTAAAGCTGGTTGCTTGCCCCTGATTTGTCTTGATATAACGGTGTGAGGTGTAAGAGTGTGAGGCAAGGGCTGAGATTGACGATTGTTATGTGTTGATCGGAACATTGTTGGTAGGTTGCTGCCCCAGCTGTGGACTGTGGTGTTGAGGTGCCTGGTGATGTACTTGTCAGCTGCTGCAGCGTTTGAAGCTGGGGGTAATTGGGCTTAGAAAAGTGGCTCACGTACTTAAAAAAGACTTCTGTGTATCAATAGAACAATAATACAAGAGAATCATGTTATGGCATGGTCAGGGAGGAGATGGGGATACTGTTGAGTATGTGGTATTGAGTACAAATTCGAGTAAAAATTCATGTGCACGGACTGTAAGGGACACAATCAGAAGTGGAGGTGAGTGTCCAAAGAGACCCCGCTAAGCAAGGACACCCTTTCTCAGGATCTGTCGGTAGAATAGAATGATAGATAGAAATCTTGATTATTGCATTAGTTGCTTGTCTCTATCGCCCCTTTCATTACACAGACTCCCAACATCAAAAAAAGCAAAATAATGATCCATTAGAGAGTCAAATTTGTAAAACATTATTATACACTTTGAATAACCCTCTAAACAGGTAATTAGTAACTATCAACACAATGGGAGGGCACAGGTATAGTATAGTTACACCACAAAGTCAAATAACTATAGGAACATAAGAATAACAACACAATTTTCATGATGAATTATATATGTAATTGCATAAAAGTAAACAATAACTTCCTTATGGATGGAGTGAGAGTCAGCACACCACCAGGTTTTATATACAAATTGGGCCGTACTACGGTCGTACTACAGTCAGATTTCCCGCTACGGTACGGTACGGCTACGATAGCTACATGCCTTGCCTACGGTACGTTACCATACACCGTACTGTCGCCCGTAGTACGTCGTAGTACGGACTGTTGGAAGCGCTGCCCACCATCATACCAGCCAAGCGCCATGTAGGGCCCAAACTTTTCCTCTCCAGTACTATAGCCATCCATCTCACCCAAATAGTGACCTGTCACTTCCTCGTCTATTTCCTCCATTTCAGCAATCCAAGCGTTAACGCAACGAGAGTGCTCATGCACTCCCGTAGCCATACCTTCAATTACTGCTTATTCTGTGCAACTCTGGACTCTGGTCCTTGTGCTACAATGATATTGTCAGTCTGAGCTGTGCACGCCACTGAAACGGGAGCTCTTGCTGGTGGGTGGTCTCGGTCATTACGGGGATGTGAACGATGCTATCGGTGCCTTGCAAAATGTACGGACCCCCCCCCCCTGGATTTTGGCTCAATATCATCCAGCATATGCCACAGGTGGGCAAAAGCTTCCGAGTG